TCACCTCACAACGGTCTTGTTTAGCAACGGAAATGTTGGCCGCAACTGTGGTCAAGGACTACCCTATAGAACAAAAGTTCTTCTCTCAATTAAGCAACACACACACACACACACAAGCACCAGAATGGAGCACGGGCAAGTGAGACAGGACACGGGCAAGTGCACAGATGCATATTTTAATAAAAATAATTCTGTCAAAATACAACAGACTGTGGGTTTCTATATTTCCAGTACAATTTCTCTCACTCTTTTTTTTTGTTTTGTTTTGTTTTTTTGTCAGTTAAAATGTCCTCCTTTGGGAAGGTTTTCATGCTAGAGTTGGTTTAACTGAAATCACAAATACTAAGCAGAAACTGATCCAATGTGCGTAGCTTGGAAGGAGATCCGTCAAGTCCTCAAATCACAGGAAAATGAAAAGTTGAGATTGCGGAAGCCTGGTGGAACCCCACATTCTGCTCGGCCTGTTTATTTGATAGGATACTTTAAAAAAAAAAATCCTTAACAGTTGGTATCATAATGAAATCATTGAAACAAAAAGAATTTGAGATGCCATGCCAGAGCTGGTACCTGAGTTTGCAAACAAGCGAGAGAAAGAGAAAAATAAAGAACTCCGTGTTTCTTTTCTTTTTTCTTTTAATGTCAGATCCAAAATGTAATCCAATTAGGCCTGCCAGTAATCTTTCTTGCTAGTTCAAGATGAGCAGATGGCACCCAAATCTTACACCTCCAGCCCAATTTTTTTTTTAAATAATAAAACAACAACCCTCAAGTCCAAAGATTTGAACGAACTTATTCGATGGTGACCATTAGCGTTCTTCTACATCTATTATACATCTCAAATATTCCCAAAACAAGTGCCCAAAACAACACTGGTAAATAAATCCATTGGATAAGAGGATTTGGCACATTTATTTGGTTACAGAATGCTGAGGACCATAATGGGGATAAATGAAGCACCAATTCTTGTCGACGCGACGGCTGTTCCTTGTTGAAAAAAGTGACAATTGACATTCAAGCTAGCCAGTTTGAATCATTGGTAGGTGACATTCCGGCACTAGAACTTTCTAATTTACAGCCAAAAACTCCTGAAACTGGTTGCAAAAGCTACATGGAAGAAAAATGAGATAGTTCTTTGAACACCTACCTGGGGCTCTGAAATTCCTCTCAATCAACAATCCTTCTCATTCTAATGTCCTCCAGAGACGTTGGACTATAATTAGCCATTGTTGTCAGTTGTGAAAGCGTAATTGCAGATTATTCCACCGCTATAGTAGACGATAATCGACGCTTGCATTTGGGATTTCCCAGTGTTCATTTTACAGACACCATGGGCAGTGATTTGTAGTTTAAAGTATGATCAACATGGCAAATGATCAGAAAAAAAGTTGCCAGGCTTTTGTTACCATTCTTCTGATTAGCGGTTGATAAAAACCTGGAATCAGATGGATCGTTTGCAAAAGGTTTCTGACAGGGTGACAAAAATCAGCCAGATGGTGTCAAAAAGAATATATATTTTTCCCTTGAATTTCTTATCTATGTAAAATCTTTTAACAAAAACTATTTTTTTAAAAAAAGGAAATATATCCTAAGATAGGTGCTAGATACAATCTCATTATCACCTGGCAGAACCTAATAATCTCTTGTCAGGTTTCATCTTAAAATTGAGACTAAATGTAAACTGTGGCTTTCAGGCTAGACATTCCTCCTCTCCTTTTGCTGATCTAAGTCTGGAGAACTCCAAGATTATGTGCTATTTTGTGTCCGTGAAAATGGTAAAAGGCTTTTAACCGCAAACGCAATTTAAATCTTCTTCCCTTCAAAGGTTCCGTAGGATTTCAAACAATCCTTTCCCATAATATATGTACTGTGGTCTCTTTAGAGCAATTACAACTAGTATTCAAATATCTGATTATCTTAGATCACATTCTAAGTGACTCATAAACATCTCAACCAGGCATAGCGTTGACTCGAATGCTTCCTAAATTAAATTTCACCTGCCGTATCCACAGGACTGAGGCATCAAAATGTTGAGCCACCAAATGCAGATTGTCTTTGAGCAAAAGTTAAACCTGCTCCTTTACAAAATTGGCGTTACCACATCACTAACTAGCTTGTCTGAGAAAAAAAAAATCTGAGGAGTGCAAAAACTGCCATGAAAACGCTTGACTTTTAAGCAAAGGATGGCAAAGAAGCCACAGCTTGGGGAAAAAGCAGCACACAGCAAAGAACAATAACAAAAAAAAAAACTTCCTGAAGCAACTTGAAAAAGGGATGAGATGGAAACTGGAGAAAACAAATCAAGCAGGAAAAAAAAATCTGCAGCCAAACAAGCAAGAGATGGTGAACATTTAAAATCGGAATTCAAACGCTGGGAACTCTTATGAAGCCTAAAAGCAAACGCAGCAGGCTAGATAGACAGAGCTGGTGGTGGTATTGATGGAGACCTTTGCCATGTAAGAAGTTACAAAAGATGGACGGTGGGCAAAACATTCTGCTTTTAAGCTGGCACTAATTATTTGGTTGCTCCTGTAATTTTGTGGGTTGGTGTTATAATTACAAGTCCTTAAAAGGTGTAAGGCAAGGTTAAGATCCAATAACAGTAAATGTACAACTTCGTGACCATCCGAGCAAAAGGGATGCTGGATAGATATTTCCGCTTGTCAAAAGTACGAACAAAAAAATAATAATAATTTCATTTTGACCTAATCAGCGCAAGGTAGCCATAACAGCCAAAGTTATGCAATGTAATCAGAGCCTGGAACGGTCTTTTCTGTTTAGTCAATTCTTTAATGTGCCCATTTTTCTTTCAGTATCTGGCACTAAAATTCAGTCCTGATCTGCCAAGGAGGCAGTAGTGCTTGGTCTTCTGAACTTGGCATGTCTTACGTAGAAACCTGAAAGCAAAAGTTGGTCCCTGCTAAGCAGTCGCAGGACCCTCGCAGAAATCAACGGAAGTTGCACCACCTTATTATTTCTCCAGGTTCCGCCTACCTGGTGACGCTTGCATAATATTCCAAATGTACTTCATCCGTGCATAGATGCATATTTTTTTTTCATTACAGCTACAAGTCCTTAACCCCACCCAAAAGTCATTTCTATGCTACTGCAATTAAAGTTCACCCTCAATGGAAGCATTTTCCTCATCAAATCAGAAACCTCTCTTTTGTGTTATCTTCTGCAAGTGGTCAGTTTTAATTAAAATGCCTTGCCTGTTGAGCTTCTGGATTTTTAAAAATTCTTCCCAATTAAAAAAACTATTTTAAAAGCTCGGCAAAAATATGGAAACATACTGGCAAGCCAGTAATTGTATTTCTAATGTCAACAAGCTTTTAGTACAGCAGGATTCCTCTGTTGTACTATAAAAATACGTGGTTATCATTCACTTGGGTAAATTAAATTAGACTGGAGTTTCCAACCTGTTATTTCCAGCAGTATTTTGTAAGGATTCTTACAATATGTTAAGTCTGGAAAAATGATTCCCAAATTTTCTTTCTTTCTTTTCTTTTTTAAAAAAGGCTATTCCTTGGAGTAAAACTGTGTTTTTCTTTTTTTTTAAAAAAAGAAAGAATATTGCCTTACGTCCTCTTTTCAAGTGGGGGTAAGCAGGATAAAAACGAGGTTTTTGTACTATTGTCCTATCAGTGTAATATCAAAGGCATGGAGGCAATGAAACGACGAAATAAAAAGCTGGCTTCACAAACTCAAAAGACTGGTGAGGGGGATTCTTGACATGTTGAAGACTCATCTTTTCATGGTTCACAACTGACATGGAGAACGTACATCCACTCTGTAAGGAAAGATCTTAGGGAGGAGCCTCTAGATTAAAAGGAAGGAAGGAAAAAAATGTTCAACTAATATATAGCTCCCATTTTCCATTCCACCTCGATTCCATTCCAGGCAGCCCTTTGGGTACCAGGATTAGGAAGCTCTCTTCTCCTTCCTCTTTGAGGCAAGTTTTAGATTGTGAGTTGCCTAAATGTGACCAGATGTGACAAAGGAGAAGTCCCCTAGCAACAGCTTAGGATCACTTGCTTTGATGGAGGGGAGGAAAACCCTGTGTTTCTCCAGAGGTTGTCAAGCTCCCGGCAACCCAGTCAGCATGGCCAATCATCAGCAGTTTGAGAAGTTGTAGCGGAGCAACAAATTCCCACAGCGATGCCCTCGTGTCTGATTGCCGTTAAGAGCTCTTACTACTTCTCCACAGAGTTTGGGGACATAACTCAGGTCACACCAGTTCTCTTTCCAAGCATTGCAGGATATCCTATTCAAGGGGCAGTTGGGAACAGATCCTCTTATTGTTCCCAAGCTCAGCCTTCCCCCAGATTAGTTCCCAGGCTGCATCCGTAGGGTTTCTCAGGGCTGTGTGTCAGAGGCACAGAAAAAAAAAAAAGATCAACTCTTTTTGTTTGGATAGCATGGCTAATATTCCAACACGCACATTCAGACTCCTGGTTTTTTTATGAGGACCAGCAACAGTGAACGATACTGTCCAAAGAAGCACACCTGCCAGTTAAGTTTTTCCGAACGTAAAAAATAAAGTTAAAACAAAAAAAAAAAAGCAAAACAGGCCGTCACCAACTCAAGATACACTTTTTATCTCTAAATGAATTAGAAACCAGCTCAGCACAAACTCTCCAGGTATAAATACTGGGTGGCTCAGTCAGACAAATAAAATAACATAATAAAATAAAAAGGTAAAATCCTAAAGTCAGAAGGCGCTACATCAGAAGGACCAGTGAGAAGGCCAAGTGCTGTGGGTGGGGCAGAGAAGAAGGATGCGGCTGTGATGGGAGGGCGGGATGGGGCGGGGTGGGGAACCCTGCGAGCAGTTTCCAGGGTGAGCAACGAAGAAGGCGCGTCAAGGGTCCTCTCCTCCTCCTCCTCCTCCTCCTCCCCTCCCGCCTCAGTCAACGCTGTGTCCTTCTGCTGGGCAGCGGGTGGAGGGCAGGCGCAGGTGAGAAACCGCAAGGCAGGAAGAGGTGAAAGGGCAGCAACTGGAGGGGTCACTCTGCCTCACTCAGTGGCTAGTGCAAATAGTCGTCCACTCTGGCGAAGGAGCAGGAGCCCAGGCCCACGCGCGCCATGAGTCGCAAGCACTCCGAGGCCTGGCCCAGGGCGAGCAGCAGGGGGGGCTGCTTTGGCAGGTTCTGAGACTCTGAGGAGAGAAAAGAGACCAGAGATGCACAAGGAACATGTCATGCAAAGAGGCTACGTCTTGCTCCCCTCCCCTCCTTCACCCAACCCCCTGACAGTCCTAACCCTTGGCAGATAAATGTTTTGGGCTGATGGGCCCAGAGGGAATTTTGAAAGCCTCTTGTAGCCGTTCTTGCAACCGGGCTGGTAGGAGGGTGGACGCATTTCCAAAATAGTCAAAACAGAATCGCCATTTACTAGCCGGCAAATTAGGGACGTTGCAGTAGGACGCCACTGCTGTTAAGACTGCAAGGGTGCTCTCTAGCACCCCGACTTGTTATTGTCTATTGGGAGGCTGGGGAGGTGATACACTTCCACAAGAAACATGGGGATGCAGCCACTTCTGTTCTCTAAAAAAAATCTGACCCTGATGGAGACTTGGAGCCGTTTTTCCTCAAGGGGACGGCTGAAGAGTTACAACTTCTACTAGCTTCCCAGTCATTGCTCCAAAGTGCATAGGGAATTCAGCATCTTAGCCCAGGGGTAGGCAACCTTGGCTCTTTTATGACTCGTGGACTTCAACTCCCAGAATTCCCGAGCCAGCATGGCTCAGCTTGGAAACCTCTCCCTTTTCCCTCAGCGTGGCTGGCTCAGGAATTCTGGGAGTTGAAGTCCACCCATCTCCGAGTGGCCAAGGTTGAGAAATACAGGCCTTAGGCCAGGGGTAGGCAACCTTGGCTCTTTTTTGACTGGTGGACTTCAACTCCCAGAATTCCTGAGCCAGCCACGCTGAGGGGAAAGGGAGAGGTTTCCAAGCTGAGCCACGCTGGCTCAGGAATTCTGGGAGTTGAAGTCCACGAGTCATGAGGGGGCCAAAGTTGCCTATCCTCATCTTAGCCCATAGTTGTTAACAAGATGGCAGTGATCCAGGACAAATATTCAGGAGACCTTTCAAAAAAAGCCCAGGATGGAAAGAAAATACTAACGAAAAAAAGCTTTCACAGGATAGCTATCTTCTCACAGAGCAATCTATGAGAAAAACTCTTTTTCAGCAGCCACCCCCGTGCAGTCACAGAGTGTAACATTTGCTTTGGCTGACACCTGCCTGACTAACATGAAGCAGCAGCCAACCTAGGCACATCATTTGTCCGAAATGGTATAGGGTTTCCTGCCTGAGCGGGGGGTTGGACTAGATGACCTTCAAGGTCCCTTCCAACTTTACTACTACTACTACTACTACTACTATTATTATTATTATTATTATTATTATTATTATTATTATTATTATTATTATTATTATTATTATTATTATTATTATTATTATTATATGCTTTTCATCCTCCTGTCTTGCCTCCTTTTTCATTCTCATAACTCCCTCCCCTTTCTTTTCTTTACTTTCTTCTCTCTTTCCTATATACACACAGCTACACTCCCTCTCCAGCACAGGTGATCTGCCAAAACCTGCAAAAAAATATGCGGCAAAATTCCTGCCACATTAGCCCTCTCAAGCGGTGCACAGAGCGGAGTTGCAACCGGCTCCTGGCATCTCCTTACCCAAAATAGCGCTATTGAGTGCAGCACACACCGGCTCCCTCTGGATTGGATCCAGCTGCTGACCGACTGGACAGTTCCAAGGATCAGAATAGGCTAACAAGCTGAATGCATCCTGAAAGAGTAATAAGAGGTCTCAGCAGAGAGCAGCAAAAGGTACTTGGTTCCAGTGGCGTTAACTGTTCTACAGGGGCCCTTCAGACTACAATTCCCAAGATTTCTTTTTTATATACAGTATATATACATTTTATTAATAATACAAAATTAAAAACACATTGGCCATAGATATGATGTCACTGATTCCATACACCTTCCAACCTTTTACAATAGTATTAGTACTCATATAGACATATAGTTCTTAAACTTTGCTCACTATTTATAATATATTATTAACACTTTTTCCCTTATTTCTATATATCTATTTATCTTTTAAATATACATTTGTCTATAATCTATATTTTATTCTAGCACTATACATTTATCTTGGCTACCCTCTTATTGTCTATCCAATCATAAAATCGTTCCCAGATTTTGTAGTACTTGGTTTCACTTTTGTCCTTGAGTTCCCATGTAAGTCTATCCATTTCAGCGCAACTGAAAATTTTCAATAATATTTCCTCTTCGGTTGGAGTATCTTTCTCTTTCCATTTTTTAGCGAAGGCTATTCGTGCCGCTGTTACTATATGCAGTAGTAAATAATTTGTGTCTTTCTTATATTTTCTTTCTATAATTCCCAATAAGAGAAATTCCAGTTTGGCTTCTATATCTATTTGCAAAATTTCTTCCAACCACTTCTTTAATAAGTTCCAAAATGTTTGTGCCTTTGGGCATTGCCACCACATGTGGTAATAATTCCAAACGGTCTCTTCACACTTCCAGCATATCGAAATTCCCATGATTTCAAGGCCACTTGGACACAGTACCCTACCTTACCTTGAAGGCATGAGGTTGTCAAATGATACAGCAGAGAACCACAAGGGGCTAATAGGGCATGCCGAGAGCTGCATTCGTAAACTGGCCAAGGCCAGTGTTTATTTTTTTCAAGACAGTTGAGTACTATTTTAAATATTAATAACACTTCTGGGGGAGATTATATTTAAACTGGGGAGGGAGCATAAATTTTGATCATAGTAACTCAACGAAATAAGCTGCAGTTCCCCCCCCCCTTCAAAAGTATAGGATACTAATGCAATAGCTCTCCCTACTGACCAGTGAAAAGTTTTATTTCACAGATGGAAAATAATGCAGAGGAGGAATGATCATCAGAGATTTTGTGTGTGTGTGTGTGTGTGTGTGTGTGAGAGAGAGAGAGAGAGAGAGAGAGAGAGAGAGAGAGAGAGAGAGAGAGAGAGAGAGAGAGAGAGAGAGAGAAAGGCCAAATCTATTTTATTAGTGGGGAGGGGTTTAAATGATTTTGCCAAGGACAGCGATGGTTTCCCAAGCTCTGAATGCCTTGGGACAATTTTTGCTGAATTCTATCTAACACACCAATAAAGGAAAATCAAGGACTAGCACTGATGATGTTACCTAGTTGGGTGATGAAACGTCTGCAGGAAAACAAGCAAGCTAAGAGAGCACTAAGGACTGTAATGTCTTCTACTGCCTTCCTGGTTTCATCTTTTTAAACAAAAAGTGTTCCATTATCTGAGGGGCTTCCACAAAGAAGAGGGGGTCAACCTATTCTGAGGGGCTTCCACAAAGAAAAGGGGGTCAAGCCATTCTCCAAAGCACCAGAAGGCAAGAGAAGAAGCAATGGATGGAAAGTAATCAAGGAGAGAAGCAATCTTGGAACTAAGGAGAAATTTCCTGACAATGAGAACAATTAATCAGTGGAATGGTGTGCCTCCAGAAGTTGTGGATTCTCCATCAAGGGGGGGGTTTAAAGAAGAGACTGGATAGCCATTTGTCTGGAAACGGTATAGGCTCTCCTGCTTGAGCAGGGGGCTGGACTAGCATTAGAAGATCCCTCTAAGATCCCTTCCAACTCTGTTATTCTGTTAAATAAATGCCCAAACCTTAATTATTATTTTTTAACGCAGAAATAAAAGAGAACTCATTTTGGGTGAAAGAGGAGCCGCTCTAGTGAAGAAAACAGCCAAGCTGTGTACCTGTAACATTTTTTTGTGGGCTGTGTTCTTGCCGTAGTCTCTGCATAGCTGCTCGCTGAGGATCTGGAGTTCCCGCCCGAACTGGATCATCCGCTCGGTGGCAGCGTGGTTCCCTCCACAGAGTTGCCTCTGTGGGCAGCCGTCTTCTGGAGAAAAGGGGGAAGGATGGGTCACCAACCTGCATGGCATCGAAGCATCTGCCTTCTTCAGCCTGACTGACCCCCCACCCCCCCCCCAAATGATTGGCCATGTAAGTCACTGGGTACAAAAGGTCTTCTAAAGAGACCTTGACTGGAAGCCCATCTTAATCTTTTAACCTTTCCTCCCCCCCCAGCATTCCAGGACTGACTGCAAATCCATGAATATTGAATATTACAGGCTTAAAAGTCCAGAAGTTAAATTCTATACTGGATCGTAGATGAAAAAAACAAACAAACAAACCCCTTGGTAAACAAGTATTGGGTCTACCCATTGTGTTAAAGCAGGATGGATTCTATACAATTGTTGAATCAACTAGAATACGGGTAATCCTCGATTTGCAACCGATTCATTTATTGACAGTTTGAAGTTACAACGGTGTGGGGGAAAAAAGTGACTTGCAATCAGCCCTCGCGCTTATTACTGTTGTAGCGTCTCTATGATCACGTGATCAAAATCTTGGCTTTTGGCAACCGGGATGTATTTACCACAGCTGCAGGGTCCTGGGGTCACGTGATCGCCCCCTTGCAACCTTCCCAGCCGTCTTCCAACCAGCAAAGACAATGGGGCAGGGCTGGGGAATTCTGGGAGTTGAAGTCCACAAGTCTTAAAGTGGCCAAGTTTGAGGACCCCTGCAATGGGGGAAGCAGATGCACTGCATGATTCATTTAACTGCAGCGATTTGCTGAATAACCAGGGCAAAAAGGTTGCAAAATGACTCCTCCTGTCACAACTGCCTTGCTTAGCCATGGAGATTTTGGACTCAACTGTGGCTTTAAGTCGAGGACCACCCGGTGTGGGAATGGATGGGCTGGAAAAAGCTTCTGATGTGCAGTAATTTTCCATAAGGAACCTCACCTACCCTGGATAATGAACTGTTTCCTCAAAAAGTGCTTTTCCTCTGCCCGCAGGCCGGCCAGACCTACCCATGCTGGAATCATCAGTCTGTAGAATTTCTTCATGCTTGTAAGTGCCATTCATTATTCGGGTGGCTGAATTCTCCAGGATTCCGTTGGGATAGTGCTCCGCCTCCATCTCCATCTCACTGTCACTTGAATGAAGAGGATGGAGGTCATGAGACAGGGAGAGGGGAGGAGAGAAAGAAAGAAAGAAAGAAAGAAAGAAAGAAAGAAAGAAAGAAAGAAAGAAAGAAAGAAAGAAAGAAAGAAATGCCAAAAAAGGAAAAGGCCTGCCCTAAAAGACACCTGTCTCACCTGGTTTCTTGGTTGCTAGTGCTGCTGTGTTGTTGGGATTTGGTAGAATCTGTTGAGTTGGACTCCGAGTAGTTCACGGAGGAAGGGGATGATGAAGAAGAGGAGGAGGAGGACGAACTCAGTGCAGGATATTTACTGTGGCTCTGCTTGCTTTTTAGGGAGGTCACCCCATTGCTACAGCTTGGGCTGTCTGCTCCTGAAGACAGAGAGAGAAGTCAAGGTGGGAAACCTAGCGCTCTTTTAATTATTAAAACTTTAAGCCCCACTAAAGAGAAAGGTTTCCCCTATCCAGTTGTGTCCAACTCTAGGGGGCAGTGATTATCATTTCCTAGTTGAGGGAGCCAGCATTGTCCAAAGACACTGCTGTGGTCATGCGGCCAGCGTGGCTATACACCAAAGGCGCATGGGACGCTGTTACCTTCCCTCTGAAGTGGTACCTATTTATCTACTCGCATTTGCATGCCTTCAAACCGCTAGATCCTCTTGATGCGGGTGAAGGAGGAGAGTGCAAACATTGGCTTGAAACTCAACGTTAAGAAAACCAAGATCATGGCATCCGGCCCTCTCAATTCCTGGCAAATAGATGGGGAAGAAATGGAGGTAGTGACAGATTTTATCTTCCTGGGCTCCAAGATCACCGCAGATGGGAACTGCAGCCAAGAAATTAAAAGACGCTTGCTCCTGGGGAGGAAAGCTGTGGCAAATCTAGACAGCATACTAAAAAGCAGAGACATCACCCTGCCAACAAAAGTGCATAGAGTCAAGGCCATGGTTTTCCCAGTTACAATGTATGGCTGTGAAAACTGGACCATAAGAAAGGCTGAGTGCCAAATAATTGAGGCCTTTCAACTATGGTGCTGGAGAAGACTCCTGTGAGTCCCCTGGACTGCAAGGCGATCAAACCGGTCAGTCCTAGAGGAGATCAACCCCGACTGCTCTTTAGAAGGCCAGATCCTGAAGTGGAAACTCAAGTACTTTGGCCACCTAATGAGAAGGAAGGACTCACTGGAGAAGGGCCTAATGCTGGGAAAGATTGAGGGCGATGGAAGAAGGGGACAACAGAGAATGAGGTGGCTGAATGGGGTCACTGAAGCAGTAGGCGTGAGCTTAAATGGACTCCAGAAGATGGTAGAGGACAGGAAGGCCTGGAGGAACGTTGTCCATGAGGTCACGATGAGTCAGACACGGCTTCGCAACTAACAACATCAACAAACCGCCAGGTGGGGCAAGTAACAATCTACTTCACCGAAGAAATCTAAAATCAGGAGAGATAACCAAACCTGACGAAGTCACTGCCAAAATCTTACTTAGCCTTAACTCTTGTTGAAAGAGCTCAGGCCAGAAACATACTAAGTTACGGAACAGGTAAGCAAGCGGGTTCTTCACTACTAAAGGTACTGTGCAGAATTTAGAGAAGAAGTTCTAACAGCGGCTTCCAGAAAGGTAATGAAAAGTAGACGCCACGTTAGCCCAAAGCCAAGGAGAGAAGCAAACGCCTACCAGTGACGTGGATGTGCAAATTATTGGAGCCATGCCGGGGGCTCAGATTGGGGGAATCCGGGTAGCTGTCTTGTGATTTGGGGCTGCGGGTACTGAAAAAGCGCACTTCGCTGTCTGTTCCATTCACCATCTCCACAAACTGCCGGCACCTGGGATGCACAGGGGGTAGGGGTGGGAAAACAGGCGAATGGGAAATTAGACAGAATAAATAAATAAACACAGTAGTACACTTAATAGTCTGCATTACTACATCTTGGAAATGGCGTGAGGAGAAGCATCCAGAGATAAGAGCTTTTTTTTTGGTTTGACTTTCTTGCGGCAAATGGCTCACAGCTCCAAAGAACTGGAATAAAAATGCACAATTCGTCCACCAAAGTGGCGCACGATCAGATCCCTGCCATATCTATCGACCTGGGCTATTAGGTTGTGAATCCGAGGGTCTTCTTTTTAAATTTTCTGCAGCATTTAGGAAAACATTCTGTAAGTGAAACCATTGGCATACGTCTATAGTCTTTGCTTGCCTGATTTAAAAAAAAGAAAGAAAAAACGAGGTTATTCTGAGCTGTCTGAGAATGCATCCCAATTCACTTTCCCTAAAAAGGGATTCTTCTTCAGCTGCCTTCCATCTGGAAAGATGTCAAGAGTTGCTATTTACAGCAGCACTCCGGAAAGCAAGCTTCAATTATTTGGGTCAGGTCAAATCGTATTTCTTAGAAGATTTATCACCTCCAGCTTTTTTCTGACAGGCTGCCCATCATTCAAAGACTATCCTATTTATTTATTGTGTATTATCCTGTCTTTATTATTTTTACAAATAACTCAAGGCAGTGACAGAGATCCAACACACCTTCTTCCTATGTTCCTTCCAACAACTGTGAGGTGGGTTGGGCTGAGACAGAGTGACTGGCCCAAAGTCACCCAGCTGGCTAAGAAGGGACCTGAACTCATGGTTTCCTGCTTTCTAACTACTAGACCAGAGATGATCAACCTTGGCAACTTTAAGATTTGTGGACTTGAATTCCCAGAATCCCCCATGCTGGCTGGGAAATATTAGGAGTACAAGTCTTAAAGTTGCCAAGATTGGACACCCCTCTACTAAATCAAATTGGCTCTTACATTCCGTTCTGCACCCCCAACCACTTGTTTATAAAAAAAGAGATTCTAAGCCCATCTACTGCTCTGTCACTAATTTTGCTTCCTGACTTTCTCAACACCGTAGTTCTTCGCACAAAGGCATTTACACCGCACTTACTTTAACATGAACAAGAGGTTAGGATTGTGCTCTAGAAGGCCTGGATAGAGCTGCTGTGTTGCTTCAATGGCTTCACCTACTCTTCCTGCCAAAACCAGCTTTTGTATTCCTGGAGGTGAGAATAGAACTGTTAGGAGGCAAGCTGTTGTCTGTCATCTCATATTAGACAGGCAATAAAACTGGATTTACCAATAGATAAATTAGTCAGATGCATTTCCCCCCCCCAGGTGTGAGAACATAAAAGAAGGATGTGTGTCAGCTGCATTTAAAAAAAAAAGAACAAAATTAATTGTGACAAATTCTCATATCCTCAAAGCATTATTTGTTAATCTTTGGACAGCCGTAGTGCATCAACAACACACGGCAGACGGTCTTTCTGCAGTGACCCCACTCATGGCTGTCCTTCCACATGGAAGTCAGCCAACCATCACTCATCTCTTTTGGTATGGGATGAAACGGTATGATTTTCAATATGCTTTCAATTAGTCTTCAATTCTTCCCATCGTGGAAAGTAGAATGAACTGCTGGTTTCATATCAATGAAAACTGCAGATAAGGAGTCTTAAGCATTAACAGTATTTCTTAATAAGGTGCTGGAGCATCGGGCGAAGGTCCAACCTTTCACTGGAGTCTGCTTGAGCTTCCAGTTAACACTTGCTACAACCGGTCCCTTAAACTGGCTTGGAGATGTTGGCATATAGCTTGCTAATTAGTATTAAGCAAATATATCGGCCTATTAACCGCCATGTCTCATTTTGCAATGGCGTTTATTTGGGAACGCTCCAGTTTAATGGTTCCACAATTATTGATGTTGGGTCATAGGTGTTTTTGCCTACTGTTCTATTTGGTTTTTATCTATATTCTACCCATCCATCTAATAACGTGTCCTTAAAAAAACCAAGAAAATAGCTCCCACGGACTTATATTCTACGTTTTCCAATCAGCTTTCCAAAAACGATTTAGCCAGTTTCCAGAACAATCAAATAGTTTGGTTTCATTTGGAAAACTGAAGGAAAGAAAAACGAGACACACAAAAACAGAAAATATACCAGCCATAAAAGAGAACTAGAAGGAGCCATGGAGGACACTTAAGTTTCTGCCTATTCATGCTGGGCTACAGAACTTAATTGCAGATATATCAATGTAATGATGCAGCTGAATTTAAAGACAATTCAGGATTTGGGGAAAGCTACAGCAGTAATACAAACAAGCTTACTTTGTCTGTTCTTTATGGAGATCTGTTCCTCTTGGACTGTACTTTCCGTCACACGGGCGAAGGCGGTTGCTGTAGCACAATATCCATGATGTACCAGATAGGAAGAGACCATGCTAGGAAATATAAAAAGCAGGCAACAGAAAGAGCATCAGTGTCAGGACAAATTCCACAAAAAGTGGGGAACAAGGCGGGGGGAGGGGGGGAAACATCTCTAGGACAGCCACATTAACATTTTGCTTCCCAGTATCCAAATATGCCAAGAAAAGATTGCTTGGGAAGAGAATAGAAAGCACTACCCATCTGACCCTCAGAAAAGTCAGGAGATTAGATCTTTATATATTAAGTGTGACGAATCTGTTCAACTTCCTTGATTTTAATTCCTCTTTGTGGGAATCCCAAAGCAATGGGGAGAAAGAACATTGGTGTGTTCAATCAATATCTTACTATGGAAGTGACCTGGAAACACGTCTAGGCCTATGTATGGGAAGCTTTTTATACATCTGAAATGAAATATGCTGCCTAATTTTTCAATATACCTGCAGGTGACTTATAAAGCCTGTTATTTTCTTTATTGGGAAAAAAATAAGAGATAAAAAGTTGGCCTATTTGCTGAACCTGTCCTGCTTTTGTGTAGATGCTCTAGGAGTAGCAGAAACAGCCAGCTCTGCATGTCTTCTGCTCAGGGCGTACATATGTAGGATGTCTGATTTTCCTTCATTTCTTTTGTGATTTGGCGATATAAAACGAGCATGGCCTTTTGCAAGTCCTTATCTTCCCTTCAGCTCTTATTTCTCATTTCTCTAGCTAACACAGAAGAAACAACGATCAAACCCGGTGCAAAGCAAGCAGCATATCTGCGCTACCAATCAGCTACAAACAAAGTGCCAGGAAAGCAGCTAGCTCCTGCTCGTCCTAAGGCAGGGGTAGGCAACTTTGGCTCTTTTATGACTTGTGGACTTCAACTCCCAGAATTCCCGAGCCAGCCTGGCTCAGCTTGGAAACCTCTCCCTTTCTCCTCAGCATGGCTGGCTCAGGAATTCTGGGAGTTGAAGTCCACGAGTCATAAAAGTTGCCAAGGTTGAGGACCCCTGCCCAAATGCCTGAATTTTGATCACGTGACTGTGAGGAAAAATATTTAATTATTTAAACCAGGGGTCTTCAAACTTGGCTCTTTTATGACTCGGGGACTTCAACTCCCAGAATTCCTCAGCCAGCATGGGGGAACTATGGCCCCTTCATGACTGGTGGACTTCAACTCCCAGAATTCCTGAGCCAGCATGGCTCAGCTTGGAAACCTCTCCCTTTCCCCTCAGCATGGCTGGCTCAGGAATTCTGGGAGTTGGAGTCCATGAGTCATAAAACAGCCAAGCTTGCCTACCCCTGCCCAAATGCCTGAATTTTGATCACGTGACTGTGAGGAAAAATATTTAAATATTTAAACCAGGGGTCTTCAAACTTGGCTCTTTTATGACTCGTGGACTTCAACTCCCAGAATTCCTGAGCCAGCCTGGCTCAGCTTGGAAACCTCTCCCTTTCTCCTCAGCATGGCTGGCTCAGGAATTCTGGGAGTTGAAGTCCACGAGTCCTAAAAGAGCCAAAGTTGCCTACCCCTGTCTTAAGGTAAAGCACCCCCTCTGCTCTTCAGGGACACAGAAAGAAGAACCAATAAAATAAGAATGGTGGTGGGGTGGGGGGAGATGTCATTTTACAGCAGAACGTTCTTGTGAATTTATCGTAAGATTTATCTTGAAGGCAATCCAAGCTGCCACTCACTTCTGTAACATGGCTTGCCATTCCCCTAGCCGGTCACCTATGGGAAACCTTTTAATCGTGCCCTGAATCTTTGCTCGCCACTCTCTCATATAGTCTTCAATGTCGAACACAAATGGCTGTTGCCCAAAGTTGGCATCCACAATCTCTCCGGGTGTCTGGAGCCCCACAGTGGGATATAGATTGGCCTGCCAAAAAAAGAAGCCCAAGTTAAAAAAAAAAAAAAAAACCGGGCTTTTTAGGAAAGAAAGCAGAGACATACATTGTTTGCTCCCCCCTTTTGAAAGGGGCGGCTAATGGAAGCCTGAACAAGGGGCTTCCGGGCCAGACCGACACGATGGGCAAAAAAAATGCATCCCTGAAAAACATTTGGGAAGAGTCAGCGTAATACAGGTAGCCCTCAACTTGCAACCGTCCGTTTAGCGACTGTTCGAAGTTGCAATGGCACTAAAAAAAATAAATGATAGGACCATCTCCACGCTTACGATTGTTGCAGCGTCCCCAGGGTCACCTGATCAAAACTGGGATGCTTGGCAACTGGCATGCATTTATGACGGTTGCAGTGTCCTGGGATCACGTGATCCCCTTTTGTGACCTTCTGACAAGGAAAGGCAATAACACTGGAAGTTTTTAAGAAGAGACTGGACAGCCATCTGTCTGAAATGGTGTAGGGTTTCCTGCCTGAGCAGGGGGTTGGACTAGATGGGCTCCAAGGTCCCTTCCAACTTTATTATTATTATGGATCATCGCACAGTCAGCCAGATGTTCAGACTAGATTTGGCATTTTGTCTACCTATCGAGTCCTTACCCAGGACCTGGGATAGGCAGATGTGGATGTTTGATGGTATTACAGATATCGTCGCAGGATGAAAGCAGTTCCTAGTAAGGCCGCCTTTTGCAATTGACTAATGGCGAATTTGTCAATGCCAATGGTGTCCAAGTGGTGCTCAAGTTGTTTTGGGATTGCACCCAAGGCGCCTATTACTATTGGTACTACCCTTGCTTGCTTTTGCCACAGGCTTTCTATTTCTATTTGTAGGTCTTTGTATTTTGTTATCTTCTCCAGTTCTTTCTCATCTATTCTGCTGTCTCCAGGCACTGCCACGTCCACTCTCCAGACTTATTCCCTTAACAACTGCGTTACTAAGCACTGCAATGATTCGCTTCACAACTGCGGCAGCGAAGGTCATAAGAGGGGACAAAATCCACTTAATTTTAGAAAGGCACATGGCTTAGGCACCACCACTTTGAAAGGCACATTGCTGAAGGAAACTGGAACGAAACTGGCTCCCCAATGTGGAAAATCAGCGTGACTTTCTCATCCAGTCAAAACAAAATTCATACTTCTATTTTGAGCTGCCAAACAATCTGCAACGGCGTAGCTGAGTCAAGGGGGCTGGCCTCTGTGCTTTGTATATTTGCAAAGTGTTGTGTGTGTTTTTTTATTCTACCCAATTTCAGGGACCCATTCAGCACCCAAAGACATTTCGTGTCAGATCCGGAGTATCCAATGCTGATGTACAAAAGAGAACAAACGTTTCACACTGGAACATTATATGTGTTTGCTTTCTTTGTCTCACATGCCTGGGTGATATTATAAAAATATGCCAGCCATTGATGTGTAATTTCTAAAGATTAAAATCATTTATGCCTGCAGCCTGTGGTTAACTGACTCCAAACCAACAAGCATCTTTACTGGCATTCAAGAACAAAAATCTGAGTAAGCAGCTTTCCAAGAATCATCTTCCTAAACCCTCTCAAAAATTACTCTCAGCTGGAACACAGGACCTGTGGTAAAAGTTTGGTAAAACCCTTAAAACTGCTGAATGAAAGAAACCCCGGCTTGATTCATTATGTTCTCGCCCCCCCAGTAGAAATTAATCATTTCCACTCCAACAAGTGGTTTAAGAAACTGTCTACCCTCCAGATGTGGTTTATTGAGAAACTAGGAATTTCTTTCTTTTCGTTATGAATGTATTCTGCTTAACAGTTCACCAAGGTGCAGGTTCCTTATAGTAGACTTGAAGCAGCTAAAGCAGCAGCAGAAAAGGCTGATTTTCAGCTCAAGATCCCATGTTGCTTATTTTAGAGAAGCAGACCACATCCTCGCCAAGTTGCTTCTCAAAAATAAAAATAAAAACAAAAAAATTCTTCTTGATATGGGGAAAAACTTTTGTCCACAATTTGCTCCCCTTTTCTGAAGCCAAAGCTTGTGGGAGAACTCATTTCTCTAACAAAACCTGCCTTTCTGATTGCCGTGGGAGCTTCATCCAAGCTACTAGCGCAGGGGTCTTCAAACCTGGCCCTTTTGTGACTTGTGGACTTCAACTCCCAGAATTCCTCAGCCAGCGTGCACGCTGGCTGAGGAATTCTGGGAGTTGAAGTCCACAAGTCAAAAAAGGGCCAAGTTTGAAGACCCCTGCACTAGCCTAATGCTAACCACTTCCAGATGGTACCCAAGGAGAAGGCAAGGCCCAAGCACCTCCCTCCTTCCCACAGCCACGTTTTCAATCTTTGGTTGAAATATAAAACAAAAGTTGTACTTACAGGAAGGTCTGTGAAGGCTATACCTGTGAAAGAGAAAATATTGAAGTCAAGACAAAGGATTTCCCCTCATTTCCTTAAAACCCATATTGGTCGTATGCAGCACATAAGCAACAAATACGTAATTGGTGGACAATTAAAAAAAAAAACATCTCTAATCCATTCTCAGATTTATTGTGTACGGGTAGTCCTTGACTTACGACTACCATTGAGCCCAACGTTTATATGGTTAAGTGAGAAATCTGTCGAGTTTTGTCCCATTTTGTGAATTTTCTTGCCACATTTATTAAGCGGATCAACTGCGGTTGATAAGTTAGTAACCCGGTTGTTAAACGAATCCCGGCTTCCCCACTGACTTTGCTTGTCAGAAAGTCACAAAAGGGATCGCGTGACCCCAGGATGTTGCGACCGTCATAAATATGAACCGGTTGTCAAGCATCCAAATGTAAATCCCATGAGGGATGGTGAAATGGCGTTAAGTGTGAAAAATGGGCATAAGTCGCTTTTTCAATGCTGTTGTAACTTTGAACAGTCACTAAACGAACGACTGTAAGTTGAGGACTACCTGTATTCTTATTCTGAAATCTGTGTCCAGCAAACTTATCCATGCTCATCTAGGAATTGACCAGAGTAAATAGGTACAAAATTCTACTTCGTCCTCCCATCTTCTATAAAGCAGTTATTGTAAACTGACCGATCGCTTAGTTGAGATGGGAGGTGTAGAAATTCGATAAATAAAATGACTAAATGTTTTAATGGGCGGAGCTACATTAATTCTCAATATATTTAGCTCTTCTGAAAATAAGGCTGAAGATCTGAGCTGTGTGTGTTTCTCTGCACGGAAAGGCAAAGAAGGGGGGGAGTAATTTAATACGTATTTCTTAATATGTGCTTCAGAATTAGCTTTTTCAGAACAATCTTTCTTGGGTTTTTTTTTTAGTCTGTTGCTTTAAAATAATTTTACAGGAGTTAATGAAGCAACCCACTGCTAGGAGAAGGAACAAAGCAGCATGCAGAGGAAGTATTTTTGCTGACCCTATAACTGAGCAAATGCACCAAGTGAGTCAAAGGAAACAGAAGATGCATTCATACAGATGACTGAACACACCCAGGTTGTCATTTTTCCAGGAAGTAACACCCTGGTATATCTATGCTAACAGAATGAAGCATAAGGGTGCTGAGTGTTGATTTGAACTTTAATCTTAATTCGAAGCAAGTAGTGCAAAAGCCTGGAGTATTTTTTTTTTCTTCTTCTGCTACTTCAGTGTCTTCAGACATTATGGAGGAGGGGAATTTAAAGCTAATTCCCAATCAGCAGTAGAAATTAGCGTTTCAACTTTAGCTTCTCAACCTTTGCCCTCTAAATTATCTTGCAGGAACAGGCTAGGTATATGTCTCACCTACTAGGAGAAAACTCAGAACCATGAAGATCTGTGCATTCAGGTAACCAAGAAAAAAACAAAAATGGATTTTGCCTGTTTGTAATCTCAGTGGTGTAAAGTCAGAATCAAAGGACAGAACGTGGCAAACATAACTTGGTGCAATGCGTAGGAAGCAAATATTTCTGGGTACAAAGATAACACCCCACCCTTTTAAAATGTGGCTGCATTCCCCACTTCCTGCTGCAAGGAAAGCAAACCACCTACAAGGCTCTTTCTGCATAGAGCATTTAAGCTTGTTATCTGGGGCTTTCTCTCCTCAACCACAATCACTATGACGAAATTGTAAGCTGCAGGATGGGGACTGGATCTTTCTCCCCCAAATACTTTGCAAAATGCCGTGAATATGGACCACGCTTATATTTACAGGTAGTCCTCAACTTACAATGATTCATTTAGGAACCCAAGTTACAACAACACTGAAAAAAAAAGTGACTTATGACCGTATTTCACACTTATGACCGTGGCAGCCTCCCCACGGTCATGTGGTCAAAATTCAGACGCTTGGCAACTGACTCACATTTATGACGGCCGCAGTGCCCCGGGGTCACGGGATCCCCTTTGGCGATCTTCTGACAAGCAAAGTCAATGGAGGGAGCCAAATTCACTTAACAACTAACAACTAAGTATGACTAACTTAACAACTGCAGTGATTCACTTAACAACGGTAGAAGGGTTGTAAAATGAGCTAAAATTCAACTTAACAATTGTCTCAGATAGTAACAGAGCTTTGGGGCTCAATTGTGGTCGTAAGCCAAGGACTACCTGTATTAAATTTATAGGCTGCCCAGAGTGATTTGGGTCCATCTGCACCAGCACAAGAATATATGAATGATATTCAAGTTATTGGGAAGAATTCATTCTACTTTTCCTTTCCTGCTGCGAACAGCTTTCTGAAAGCTTAACACACTAAGTGGAATTTACGCTACTGTATGGGCTTTTTCTCATTGGTGATACAATTTGTTCCATAGGCAAGATAAATCTATCACCACCATAGGAGCAATGCACATCAATTTTAACACGTATAGGACGGTCATGCTGCAGACTGGAACTTCTTGGGCCAGGCCAGCTGGAACATCTGGGAATTGCTACTGGAGAACGCCAGGTTGATGAAGACAGTTCTGCACATTTTATTTTTCTCTTCTTGGCCCAGCGAGAAAAATCCAATTATTGCTAAAGCAATTCTGAAGAGCAAAGCTGAAACATCTGGCATGCATGATGCATGAAGCCAGAGTGCTGAAGCATCAGACTATAGATTCCTATGATTTTTTTTTTTAAAAAAAAACCTAGATACTCCTGAGAACCCCACCAGTTTATTGTGAAAACAAGAGTTGTCTCCTAACTGTGTTTCTCAACAAGTGGTTATTGAGGGTATTCTACCTTTTGAACCGGGAAGGGCCACTTTGCTATAATTTTCAAAAGCTGCTTATAAACTACACATTTGTATTGCTTCAAAGCAATTTAAATCAATAGTTTTCACCACATGTTGCTGCAGGGAATCCCATAAATCAGGCATGTCAAACTCGTAACGTCACGTGACGTCACGCAACGTATCGGGCCGGTTTTTGCCATTGCCGGCAATGGGGTGGGCACGGCTTCCACGTGATGCGTCCGGCCTGTGCGCCGGCAGTTTGACATCCCTATCATAAATGTATCCAGTGCTCTGGGTAAGTAGCACTTTCACTTACCTACCCCCCAATTTACAATAAGCAATTCTAAAGAAATAAAATAAAATCAGCAGACAACTGTTTCCCTTGCTTTGTGCTAGAGTTATACTCCCCAAAAACTTGCATAAAGCAAAACTCTGAACGGTGGATAAAAGGGGAGTTGCTGTCAAATTTTATAACTCAAATGCTTTGACAAATGTACTCATAAATTTTAGAACCTTAGTTTTCAGTACTACATTAGTCAAAGAGGTTTGCTTCTTTATCTCATGTTCCATGAAAGCGTCTCTTCTATCTTTTTTACAGCTGTATTTCTATTGCACATAGCAGACAACAACGACAACAACAACCAGAATGCATCACAGCACTATGAATACTATTGTCTTTCTTTTGTGCACAGAGGAGATTCTCCCAGGTTAAAAGCGTATCCTAGGAGGGAAGATCCTTCACCAACTTCAGCACAATCTACTATATTCAACCAGTGTTAGAGAGGTCCTTTGATGTTGGGGAAAGGAGACTGGATAAGATATTGATGATTATTTTAACTCCAAATGAATGGGAGTCCCTACTGCACATACAGAAGTAAGTGGGAGATGGGCCACACAACAGAAAAAGTCATATAATGTGATGGTAAATGCATGAGAAAGGAGCTTTGGTAAGAAAATGTTCAAGTAGCTTTGGGGGGAAAGTAATCCAGATTTCTATTATTGATTATGCTGGCATAAGCTGCATAGTAGCATTTTTTCCCAACATACAATGAATTTTATAACAAAAAAAGACCAATTGCATCATAGTGAATTATGTAAAGCGAGGGAAACTTGTACTTTCTCTGATTTAAAAAAACCCTATAAACCTGCATTGGAAGTTGATAAAAAAGACCACAACCTACTACTTGATAATATAGAAAAATGTGGGTTAGACAGCATCACCACGGTAGCTGGCTGACCGGCCGTACTCAGCATGCGATCCTCAATGGAACCACATCTACATGGAGGGAAATATGTAGTGGGGTACCCCAAGGCTCTGTTTTAAGCCCAGCACTCTTCAACATCTTCATCAATGATTTGGATGAGGGGATAGATGGGGAACTCATCAAATTTGCAGACGACACCAAGCTGGCAGGAATAGCCAACACTCCAGAACATAGGTTTCAAATACAGAAGGATCTTGACAAACTTGAACATTGGGTGCTATCTAACAAAATGAAATTCAATGCTGAAAAAAGTAAGGTTCTACATTTAGGCAAGAAAAATCAAATACACAGATATGGTATATAGGGGATACCTTGCTCAATAGTAGTAACTGCAAGAGGCAATTTGGAGTCCTAGTGGACAAACACTTAAATATAAACCAACAGTGTGCTGCAGCTGCCAAAAAAAGCCAACACAGTTCTAGGCTGCATTAACATTAGGGATAGAATCAAAATCACGTGAAGTGTTAATATTACTTTGTATTAATGCCTTGGTAAGACCAACTTGGAAAACTGCATCCAGTTTTGGTCGCCACAATGTAAAAAAGATGTTGAGACTTTAAAAAGAGTGCAGAGAAGAGCAATAAAGATGATTAGGGAACTGGAGGTTAAAACATATAAAGAACAGTTGCTGGAATTGGGTATGTCTAGTTTAACGAAGAGAAGAACCAGGGTGACATGATAGCAGTGTTCCAATATCTCAGGGGCTGCCACAAAGAAGAGGGAGTCAAGCTATTCTCCAAAGCACCTGAAGGCAGGACAAGAAGCAATGGACGGAAACTAATCAAGGAGAGAAGCAACCTAGAACTAATGACAGTTAAAACAATCAGTGGAACAACTTCTCTCCAGAAGTTGTGAATACTCCAACACTGGAAGTTTTAAGAAGAGATTGGACAACCATTTGCTTGAAATAGTATAGGGTTTCCTGCCTGAACAGGGGTTGGACTGGAAGACCTCAAAGGTCTCTCCCAACTCTGTTATTCTGTTAATTCTGTTCTGACTATACGATCAATCACTTTGTTCTTTTGAATGGAACCCAATTCTGACAGGGAACTTATGAACACATCAACATTTCAAAGGAGGTCAGAGAAAACTGTACCAAGTGTTCCATCCGCTTACCTAAACTGTGCCCATTCTTTGTGTAGAAGCAGGTGTTGTTGATGAGGTTCACACAGCAGCCGATTACATCGCCAGTAGTGAACGTGGGGCCGTAGGGCTGCCCTGTCCCTGATGAGCAGAAGGAGTGTCCATCATCGCCATGATAGCCATAGGAATGCTTATCCCAACCTAAACAAAAGAGAGAGAAAAAGAATAAACAAAGAGCCCATGTTTAGAAAGTAACATGTTTGACATCGGGAAAGAAGAGATTCATAGGTGACATCACTAGGAAATGTACCAGCATTTGTATTAGTCATGAAAGAGGATTCCAGTATGTGCAAAACATTCTTCATAGAATGTTCTGACTCCTAAGGGTTGGAACTCAAAACCAAATACTCAGAACATGGCCCTTTTCAAGGTTGAACCACTCCCAGAGTGCTTAGAAAAGCTGTTTAGGAGTCAGAATGTTCTGTGAAGATATTTAGAAGATAATTAGGGGGGAAAAGTGAGTGCGATAAATAAGCTGTCCTGTTCCCAACACACAGAAGACAGAAAATAGAGAACTGTTTATCATGGCGAAATAAGATTTTAGCGACTAAAACTATGGATTTTTTAAAAAAACTGTTACAGGTAGTTCACGACGAACAATGTTTTGTTTAGTGACTGTCAAAGTTACAACAACCCTGAAAAAAGTGACTTATAATTGTTTTTCACACTTAACAACCACTGCAGCATTCCCAGGGCCATGCGGTCAGAACTCAGGTGCTTGACAACCGATTCCTATTTATGAAGGTTGCAGTGTCCTACGGTCGTGTGTTCACTTTTTGCGATCTTCTAGCAAGCAAAGTCAATTGGGAAGCTAGATAACAACCATGTGACTCGTTTAACAACTGCAGTGATTCACTTAACAACTGTGACAGGAAAGTCCTAAAATGGGACAAAATTCATTGAACAAATGTCTCACTTAGCTGCAGAAATGTTGAGCTCAATTGTGGTCTTAACGCAGGGACTATATGTATTTCTATAAATTGCAATATAACCCTAACTCCTTCCTCTACAGCAGGGGTGTCAAACTGCCAGCCTGCAAAACTGCGCTCACCCCATTGCCGGCAATGGGGGAAAAAAAGTCGCGATACGTCGCGACACGTGACGTTGCGAGTTTGACACCCCTGCTCTACGGGATGGCTATATAAACCAGTGAAGAAAGTATTATTCAGGCTGGTTTGTTTTTAAGTTTTCAATCCAAATAAAACTGTAGGAATCTAAAACCTACATTTCCACCGATCTCTTATGCAGATAGTTGCCCAAGCTACAGCATGGCTGCCTCTTCGTGAAGTTGTCCTTTCTTGACAGTTTTCATCACAAATCCAACCAAATGCAGGATTTGCATTTCAAGGTCTGGTTAAAGGGAACACGAGGCTTAGAAAGAAACACAATCCTCTATTCCCTTCATAATCACTTACTAGTACAGCGGTTCTCAACCTATGGGTCGCGACCCCATTTGGGGTCGATCGACCATTTCACGGGGGTCACCAAGCAAGGCTGTCCGCCATTTTTTCCCCCTTTTCCGGCGGGTGCCTTACTTCCCTTGGGCTGGGCCAGCTGGTGGTCGGCCTGCTCCGTCTCTGCCGCTTGCCAGCTACGCCTCGGCCGGCGCAGGGGGCGGAACCACGCATGCATAGCGCTCCCGGGCAGGAAAGTCCTCGACTTACGACCGGTTCGGTAGTCCTCAACTTACGACCGGTTTAGTCCTCGACGTACGACCGGTTTAGTCCTCGACTTACGACCGGTTTAGTCCTCGACTTATGACCGGTTGGAGGTCGCGGCATTAAAAAGGTTGAGAACCACTGTACTAGTACTTAAGAAATTAAGAAGGCACGTTGGCACTCATCTGTGGTATACAGGCAGTCTGAACTAATCAGGAGCCTTTTCAAGTCTAGAAAACAATTCAAGATATTACACAAAAAATTTGCTGGGCTGATCACTGTCTGATCCCAGCAGCCTGCCATAGACCAAACCAGTTAAGTACCTAACTCCTCTTTAAGAAACCCAAAGATCCTCCACTAAAGCCTATATATAGTATTTTTGGATCTGGGCTAAAGAAGGCCTCTTTGTTTATTCTGAAGAATCCTAGTCACAGAACGAGCTTTTGTGTGGCTTCCACAGATTTATGTTTAGCCACACACGGAAGACATTGTTTTTCTCATTCTCTTTGAACATAAACCACAGTTTCCAGTCAAGGAAGTATTGAAGCATCATGTTGCACAATCCACAATCAAGTAATCATGGACTAAATATATTCGGCTGTACCACAAGCAGTCCCTGGCACAGGAACTGGATGCTCAGGATAAAGTCCTAGTAACTTCAAGCCAAAAATACTAGGACCATGCCTAAGGCCAAAAGCCGGACAAATAAAAATTAGATTCAAGTGTTTTAAGGTCCAGATTGATTTAGCCATAGTTAAGATCTATGAAACACACAGAATGAAATCTGACAATATGGCAACTCTCTTCCATTTCATAAATACCTAGCTTCAAAGTAGTCCTATAATCACATTATGCTAGAATTGCTTGCTAGCAGGAGCAGTTTTTCTTCTCGCTGCTACAAAAGGAACGCCGAAGGTTAAACTATCACGGAGATTAAACTACATTCAAACATCCAGGATGGAGCACATAAAAATATACAGTGTGCTCTTGCTTGTGATGTCAGGTTGCTCCAATTGCTGTCAACACCCTTATCTGAAATGACAGTCACATTCAGCTACTCTAAAGGGCTCCACCTGAAAACAGCTTATATTTAGTTCCGAATTAAAACAGAGACAGGGTGACCTACTTGATCCTTACACACCCAAACTCCTAACGATCTGTTTAGGAATGCTTGTACATACATCTGACTTTTAAAACAGTGATTTGGGGAATAGACACCCAGATGACAACCTAGCACTGGAATCCCCAGCATTTTCCAGGATACGTTACCCCGCCCTTTTGGAGCCCTCTTCAGTCATCTGCTATGGCTAACTTTCAGTTTCACACCAAATTAAGCACCAGAAAAAAACAGACAATTGGATATAGTTTGATATATTGTTGTTGTTAGTTGCGAAGTCGTGTCCTGTCCGATTCATCGCAACCCCATGACAATGTTCCTACAGGCCTTCCTGTCCTCTACCATCTTCTGGAGTCCATTTATGATATTTTTTGATATATTAAATTGCAACTAAAAACTTTAGAGGCAAGGTACCTGCCAAGCCTTATTCACAATAGTGACTGCTGCTGCTTTACGTCAACAAAAGGCTGCAAGGGAGGTGTTTATTGATCATGAAGTTTCAAATTTGATAGGAAAAGAAACAGAAGTGCAAATGGTTCAGCGGTTTTCCAAAAGTGATGCCCAGGATTTAAACTTGCCAAGTGCAATATAAACAGTATATTTTAGGTAGGAATTCCCTAAGCACAAAAAAACCCTCTAAAAATTGAGAAACCTGGAAAAAAAAATCAGAAGTATCAAGTTTATACATCAGAAAACTAGAGATTGTCCTCTTTTGCAACCACAACTGGGAGTGGCAACTCAGTCGTTAAGTGAAGCAGTTGCTAAATAAAACTGACTGTGCTGACAACCGTACTCCAGCTTGCCTTTGCTTTACACACTTGTGAAAATCACAAAATGCGAGGAAGCAAATTTACTTTTTCATCACCATCAATATGAACAGTCACTAAACGAGGACTACTATATTACATTATTCAGACAGTCTATCATAGAAGTATGAGTTTTCATCATGCCAGGCATGGTAAGACATGGTTTACAAAGCCACACAAAAGGCATACTTGGCAGGCTATCGAAAACACCCCTACCTCTTCTTAATATATGACAATTGTTAGGATAAATTTTGCTACCATCATTGGTTCCTTTCGTACAAAGCGCCTTAGATTGGATCACCAATTGCTTTATATTTGGGGAATAAGGTTTCCAAATTACAGCAAAACTCAATTTTGTGGACTTGCGTTCAGCTATCTTCGGATGCAACGTACATAACTTGGGACTTCACCCCCCCCCAAGTAATACACAAAGTACACTGTTTCTAAAACAAGACAACAGAGGGTATTTATACCATGCAAATGATGTCAAAACAGAGGAAATGACGCGCAATAATGCAAACAACGTAGCTTGATACAAATGATGCCAATCACGTACATTCAAATTGAATGGACATTTGGCTTGAACAGAATCTGTTCAAAACTGAGCTATTTACAGATCTTAATCTCCACAAAGACCACAGGTGCCCGAAAGAGTAACTGGGGTAACTGTTTTCTCATCAGAGTTGCTGGTGGTGTATCAACCCCTTTTTTCCGAATCAGCTTAAACGGGCATATAGAACAGTAGCCTTATTTGTGTTCTGCAAACAGCGGCATTCACCATCTGTCCGTTCTAGTGATGTGTTTGTCAGGAAGATGTTACTGGAAAAGCCTGGAGAGCCCAACTATCTGAACAAATGAATGGCCATTATGTCAGAAGCTGCAACCAAATCCGTTTCTCGTAGCCAGCCTCCAAAGAGATTCAATTCCAGGGACGCCCTCAAAGGCCTGCACTGAGCACCCGTCACGTGGGCATCTCTTAATAGTGTTGGCAGACTCTCACCTGATGCTGTCAATTACATGGCTTCTTGCAACTAAGCGTGGGCAATTTTAGATTAAGAAAGAAGCTGCTAACATTAAGGACTAATTATTCGTTAGCGCGTGAGGCAGATGCCAGGGTTTAAACGTAGAGCCACATGTTGAAATAGAAGAATCCAAAATGAAGTCACGGGCGTAAAAAAAATTAGGACAGGTTTAAACAGAATTTGTATTTAAAAAAAAGAAAAAAAGAAATCTAAATATCTAAAGCAGGGGTAGTCAACCTTGGCTCTTTTATGACTCGTGGACTTCAACTCCCAGAATTCCTGAGCCAGCTAAGCTGGCTCAGGAATTCTGGGAATTGAAGTCCACGAGTCATAAAAGAGCCAAGGTTGACTACCCCTGATCTAAAGAGTGTTGAACTGAACTGCCAGCCTGTTCTGTGAACCTTTTCAACCTTATTTTGGCCATGAAAATACGCTTTTGTAGTAATTTCACAATGCTTACAAACGTCAAGAGGTTTTTCATCATGCCAGATGCCATTTCTGTTGCCAAAGGTTTCCTAATGCTGGGACAAGCATCCAAATATACATCATTTCCAATGGGATATGCATTTTGCTGAGGAGGCACGATGCATGTATTGGCCCAGCTGAGGGATAAATTCCTCTACTCTGGAGAGTTTCACGCCCAAATGTGAGGAAATGTAATAGGGAGGCTGGGCAGATGCCAAACAAGAAACTATAAGACTAGGAAATCTTCCGAAAATTTAGGGTAGTGTTATAGTACCATCTGCTTCCAATTTACAGTAGCAAAGCTGCTTTTCCACGAGACTAAAAGCAGAAGGAGCCAAGAGAAGCAGAAGTATTCCATCAGCTAAAAAAAAAAAACCCCAACAGATTTAGGATTCTCCAAACAGCTGCTTGCTAGATCCTCATTATTTAAAACCTTGCCTATCTTAGGCAGTTGTTGAAGAAATGCCATCTCAGTTTGGCAATTTCCCTCTTTCTTTATTACGCTCTTCCTTATTTTGGATTGTAAAGCAAGGGGGTTATCTTTCCCTTAGTGATCTTGAAGCTGCTTTCAAAGCTTTCTTTCTAACTAAAGAGAAGGGTAACATTCCTTGAAAATAAAAGAATAGAGAGAAAAGTTTGTGTTGGCACCAACATTTTCCATTTTAATTATGTTAGAAAAACAGCCAATCCAATAGAAGTGCCATCAATAAATAGCACAGATGGTAGTTCTATAAATATGAGCATCTAGTTTAATCCAAGCGTCCTAATTCATTGTGGGAAATCTGGTGACCAAGAATTGCATCCAATCCTTGAATCTACTTTTTATAGGCCTAGACCAGGGGGGGCCAAACTACTGGCCTGCGGGCCAGATGCATCATAGCAAAACCGTGCCCACCCCATTGCTGACAATGGCAAAAAAGTCACAATATGTCGCGACACGTCACATGACGTTGTGAGTTTGACACCCCTGGCCTAGAAACTATTAGCACTTTTTAGGGCTAAGAAGACCTAAATCTGGACTATTTGCAGCTATCTAGTGACTGTCTGGACTTTGCAAAAATCCAGAAAATCTCTAGATAGCTGCAAACAGCCCTTGGTCCAGGTTTTTTGAAAGCCAGATCATTTTATTTGCAAATTGCATGTATGTATTTAAATAAAAACAAAAAATAGGAAAAGAAAAATAATGCAATCTACATATATGCAAAAGTGTCATCATTATATTAACACGCTTACGAGGTTTTACAACACCAGCTTTAGGAAAGAATGACCACGTTTCATTACAACCGTCCATGCATAATCTATAACTTCAAGAAAGTTTTATCACTATTAAAAATTCCCCTATTCCCCCCAACCCAATAAAAACTGGAACCTCTCAGCTGTCACATGCCCACCCCCTGCCCACTTTGCATTATTACCCTCATCCACTGCGGCCCACAAAAAAAAGAATTATAAACTAAGATTCTTAACAAAGGGGTTATCCGGTCTTGCCCCATCTAAAGAGGGTATAAAATCACACACACAAAAAAAACCCTTTACATTTAGCAATAAGAAATTCAAAGCTGAATGGGCAGAAATAAAAACAGCAATGCTGGGCGGGGGGGGGAGAGGGGCTGACTTGGGGGTAAAAGCACAGAAACAAAAGATTCAAGAACAGATGATGGAAGTCAAGAAGAAGAAGAAAACTAGAGATGCTTGGCACATCCAGCTTCACCTATTTTGGGAACAAACTCCCAAAGCCACGAGGGCAGCAAAGTAATAACTTTACAAACATAGGATGGTCAGATCACATCTAGCCACAGCTTTGGTTCAAATGATTATAGGAAAGCTGTGTTAATCCTTGGTGGCAAAAAAAAAAAAGGACCAGGGCATCTTTTTCCAACTAACGAGTGATATTAAAACACAAGCTTTCATAAACTGTAGCTCAGTGGTTCTCAACCTTTTTAATGTCGCGACCCCAACCGGTCGTAAGTCGAGGACTAAACCGGTCGTAAGTCGAGGACTAAACCGGTTGTAAGTCGAGGACTAAACCGGTCGTAATTCGAGGACTACCCAACCGGTCGTAAGTCGAGGACTTTCCCTGCCCGGGAGCGCCGCGCATGCGTGGTTCCGCCCCCTGCGCCGGCCGAGGCATAGCTGGCAAGCGGCAGAGACGGAGCAGGCCGACCACCAGCTGGCCCAGCCCAAGGGAGGTAAGGCACCCGCCGGAAAAGGGGGGAAAAATGGCGGACAAAAAAAATGGCGGACAGCCTTGCTTGGCGACCCCCATGAAATGGTCGATCGACCCCAAATGGGGTCCTGACCCACAGGTTGAGAACCACTGCTGTAGCTGATTTCATCAGATGCACAGAGTGTGACGAGACCAGTTTTTCCTCAGGTTTGGAAGCTTGAAGATGTGCGGACTTCAATCCCCAGAATTCCCCATGGCTGGCAGGGGAATTTTGGGAGGTGAAGTCCACATATCTGCCAAGGTTGAAAAACACCGGGCTAGACTTAGAGAGGATTTAAATTGGGGTGGAGGATGGGCAAAGGAAGAAGATAGATTGGTTATGCGGATTGACAGGTAAGACATTACGAATTCCCATCAATTATCAATTGTAATGTGTCCGAAACCTGCTGTTTTTTGCCTGAGACTGCCTTTAATCTTTTGATATATATAAGACCTCAAGATTTTTTCACTTGAGGTTGCTTTTTAAGTAATCACTTTGAGGTCTCCTAAAGAGTTCCTGGGAGATTGATATCGAGTCCTGATGCCAAATTCATTGTTATGCCTTTTAATACAATTTGTTACATTAAACAAATTATTAAATTGTACTTCAACTATATGGAAATATAGACTCCTCCTATTTTTGCAATTCAAGCAATGTTCTCCCCAAAAAAAGTCTGCCCATGGATTCCAGAAGTAAGTTTTTTTCTTTTCTTTCTGGATTGTAGACATCCAGTCAACAGCTCAGGAGCAAACACAAATAGTTGTTAGCAGTGACTCACCAGGAAGTCTGTTCATGTTGACACCTTGGGCAGAGAGTCCTATTCCCATGTACCTTCAAACAAACAAAAAAATTGATTAGTTCAACAAATGAGAGCATTTCCAAACAAGGTATCAACCCGGCCTTTTCCCTACTAGAAGTAGAGCCCATGTGGGAAGAAGTTACAAGTTATCGTTCAGTGAAGACTGTCATCTAATTCTTTCTCAAGTTATTCACCAAATATCCATCTAACTAGGATAACAATAGTTGCATGTAATCAAGCCATCTTTGTATGCTTAAACATTTCCCTTCAGAGGAAAGCTTAGTATCTCTGATACAAATATACTATGCCTCACTAAAATGTAGCACAAAATATCAAAATGATTTTGGTCAACAACTGTAAAATAATGCTTAAGAATTTTTTCAGATATAAAGTTTGGAGGTGTCGTAGTTTAAGCCTATTCGTCTTTATTACAAGTCTGCTTCTTTGCCCCAAACCAGAATTAACATGCAGGAAAAGGAACCGCAACTCTTGATATAGCATAGCGTGCACACTGCATCATCGGCTGCACGTGAAATATTTCCTCCTTCAGTGACTAAGTAGAATATATCATCTATTAGAGATCATTCAGAGGAGTTATCTTCGGTTGGCAGGAGCAGTTCCTCTTTACAACTGCTTCACAAGAGTCAGGCAATTTTGAGTGTTTGCAAATTGTAAAGCCTTTCATGTTAACTGAACGTGAAGGAAGTATATTCGATTGGAATTTTTCTTGACATTATTAAGTTTGGAGGTTTCTGCTCCCCAAGATTCAGAAGCATTTATTTGCTGGCACGCAGAAGGTAAAACTCCTCATTCAGAACAAACAGGTTTTTCGCAAGACGATCTAATCTCCAATTTAATTATTCTGTTCTGTCTCAGAACAATGCCTGTCTGGCAAATCCTGTCTTCTTGGGTGCACAGAATGTTCTGATGTTGCTGAATTACAACGCTCAGGTGTCCCAGATAGCAACACAAGAGGTTAAGGATAGTGCTAAATGAATAGATTCTGTTCTTCAGGTCACCTATTTCCAAGCTTTTCTCTGTACGGTGCCTAATCCAACCTATGTACTCTCCAGATGTATTGACTTGAACTCCCAGCATGCTCAGCAACTGTCTATTTGAGGAATTCTGGAAATCAAAGTTCATCCATCTGGAGGGTCCCAGTTCAGAGAGACTGGCTGTAAAGGTGTAGATTATGCAACTGCTTCATAGGACAAACAGGCCAAATTAAAAGAGCTAAGCTGCATAGGAACTTAATTATTATTATTATTATTACAAGTAATACATTCAGAAACACTGACTCATTAGAACTCTAATCGTACACTACAAATTCTGGTAGCATCTTGATGATGATGGGTGGAAAATAGCACTGAAGTGGTATGTTCTAAAACCAACAAACCCCAAGATATTTTTTTTTAATTCCCAAAAATAGAAGTCACCCATAATTTCTAAAATCATAGCTATTCGATCTGCATTATTTTCATGTCTTCCTATGTCTCTCACTTAGTATGCCAACATAGTGAATTATTCAATTATTGGTATTCCGGAGATGCGTGAGGTTTTGTACTGCCCTAACATAGAGATATGAACGTTCATTTTTCAGAAATATGTCTTTATACCACAAAGCCCAATTATAAACTGCCAACACCAGAACTCATTCATTTCCAAAGCTGCTGTGGATGTCAAATGAACACTTATTTCACACTTTCTGCTCACGTGCAGGTCATTAGAAGCCTGCCAGAACGGTGGTTCCTATGACAGGGGCAGGGAAAGCATTCCTCACTTAATATAAAAAATTAAAATGTTTTTCATTTGTTGAATACCAATGTTTGGTATTCAACACCCTCCTTTATCAGAAAGAAGCACATATGCCACATCGTTCTATAAACAAGCCCTTGAGCGGCAGATTTTGTAAATCTGGATAACTCGTGTGACTGTTTCTAAAATGTTTATAAACACTGTAGGCCGGAGATGGCATAGTTGAGGCAGACAATTCACGTTGTTGATTGTACAGTGTGTTAGCAACCTTCATTCTGTAGGACAGTAGCTCTCATAGTGTGAGATCATAATCCATGTAATGAAAGTCTGCTATCGTTATAATCAGGTTTCAAGGCTCTGAACCAAACAATCTACCAACAAAGCTGTGCTACACTACCACAATTGCAGAGGGGAAAAGGGAGATTATCAAGGCCATCACACCACTTGCAGGAATATTAACAAGAGGTACATGTTTAGAAAAGCAATGTAAAAGTGCAGGACCTCTCTTTTACTCCTTAGAGTAGTCTGTCTCTATATAGCAGACATGTCAAACACAAGGCCCGGGGGCCGGATGTGGCCCGCGAAGTGGATTCATGTGGCCCGCCAAGCCATCCTGGAAACAGTGAGGGAACGGCCCCCGCTGCCTTGGCCCTGGCCCAGACCAGCCGGCCGGGAGCCAATGTAAAATTTTGTGGTGGCCATCTATGCTGAAACGCATTCAGTCTCCCTCTGACTTTGCCCTGGTACCCATCATGAGCAACCTGGCTAAGGAGAGCACGCACAGCAGCAGCAGCCTTGAGGAGGAGGTAAGTACAGCTGGGCGTCCCCTTGGGGAAGTGGGGCTGGGCTTGGTGCCGTGGGTGCTCGAGGGCCAGGCTGGGCATTTGACCTCTGCTGCCCAGGGCTCCGGGCAGCCCGCACCACCATCCAGCTCCCCCTCATGGCCTGAGAGGAACAGTGAGGCTCCTCCAGTGGACCACGCCTTGGCGCCTGCCCCGGTCCCAGCCCCTTCTGCCAAAGACCCTCAGATCTGTCCCACTCCTGCCCAGGCCCCTATAGGCACCCTTGATGCGAACGATGTAGAGCTGGCCACGCCCACCCAGTAGGCCACACCCACTCCCTCCACGCCCACCCAGTAGGCCGCACCCACCCTGGCCACACACACACACCCCGAGGGCAACTGCAATGCTGATGCGGCCCTCAATGAAATTGAGTTTGACACCCCTGCTATACAGGCTCCCTCAGAAGGCAGAAAAATAGAGACGGCTGTTTTAAAAAATCATATTAAATTGAATGAGTCGGCTCAATAAAGCGGCCAGATGTTTCTTTCTAGCTCACAAAGCATGCTGTGTTAATGAAGATGTTCACGCAATTCAGCCTTCCAGAAACCCTTAGGAACATATTCAGGCAGAATTGACAAGCCTTTCTCGGGAAGCTCTTTCTATATTCTTTCTTTGCTCTCTCTTTTTCCGCTCACTGTTCATTTTTTTTTGCCTTCTTTACGACACCTTTTGGCTCCTGCTTTGTGCCAAAAATTTTCTTGGCTTTTATTTGTCCTAAATGTTATCTGGCACCAGTAACTTATCATTTTGAAGGACAAACAAACAGACCATTTTAAGATTAAGACAGCCCTCCAACTGCCAAAAGACTGAGATATTTTCTGATTACTGAAAGAATAAGCCTAAATAGTGCACTAATTCCTTTTTCTAAATTAGCTCTCGTTTGTGATAAACCCTAATGGGACTTTAGAATACCCTAAATAAATCAAGTGTTCAGGCAGAGGGCTAGAAATAAGTAGCATCAGAATCACGAATAAACGCAAGTTTCATCTGTCAATCTCATAAATAATTGCTACCTTTTATTACTTCATTTTACTAGCCTTGCATGCCACTTTAATCGTAACAGACTCTGTGCGGCGTATGCACCTGTAAAATAAGGTTAAAATATACACTAAAATGACAGAAGAAACCATTCATTATTTTATGCCAGGTAACGTGGGGCAGCAGTTTGACACCCCTGCTCTAGCCCAGTCTTCTGTCACGTCTCTAAGAGATTGTCACCAACCAGGAAGAGAAAGGATCCAGGCTACAAGTTGTTGAGCTGATGTCATACATTACCGGGTCACACCTGAACAGAAACTGGTCCAAACTCATCTCAGATAAAGCTGTGAGATTCAATCACCTCTACAGAACTTGCCTTGCTGGCATCAGTTCTGAGCAAATCTGAGTAATCTTATCTTCCAGCTGCCTCAAAAATTCTCAAAGGGCCCTATAATGTTCTAGACCAGGGGTAGGCAACCTGGGCTCTTTTATGACTCGTGGACTTCAACTCCCAGAATTCCTGAGCCAGCCATGCTGAGGAGAAATGGAGAGGTTTCCATGCTAAGCCATGCTGGCTCTGGAATTCTGGGAGTTGAAGTTCACAAGTCATAAAAGAGCCAAGGTTGCCTACTCCTGTTGTAGTCCATACTTCCCTCAAAGGGATACCTAGTGACAATCAGACAATGAGGTAACAGCAAAGAAATACTGGTAATTGGCTGTTTTTGCTTATCATCAAGGACTTCCCTGGATTGATGAGCAGAAAGATTCAATTCTAATGCTCAGGAAATACCTCTAGTGCTCTTCAGAAACCTCGTGGTCCCATCAGGCACCTGGGGCAGATTGACTGATTAGCAAATGGGATTAATAATAAAGTATGGTCTATGACTAGAGCAATGTTTCTCAACCTTGGCAAGTGCATGGACTTCGTATTCTAGAATTCCCCAGCCAGAACTATGGGAATTGAAGTCCACACTTCTTAAAGTTGTTAAGGCTAAGAAACACTGGAGTAGAGACCCAGGTTCAAGTCCATCCACAGCCATGGTATGGATGACTTTGGGCCAGTTGCCCGTTCTCAACCTAATCTACCTCAAAAATGTGTAAGCATTCCTATGTAAGCTACTTTGAGACTGGGGAAGAAAGCCACGTGTAAATCTAGCACAAATATTTCTCAATGTTTTCTGATCTCACCATTACATCATTCCTGACCATTGAGCTACCAGTATGATGCATCTATTTTCTGATACGTACAAGATTTCAATTTAAAACTGCTTTGTAGAACAATTTTCACATCACCGTGGGTCATAAACCCAACGGCACAGCAATCATGGGCCCCTAAGGGAATGTATTAACCTAGTTAATGATAATTCCTTAGAACCATTCTGGGAGTTGCATAATGAATTAAATTTGCCCCCTCCAGCAGCACTAACAGCACAGAAGTACTGCTGCTGATTTAGAAC